TTTGGATGGTTTCTCACCACATGGTAGTCAGGCCACATCTTGACAGTGGTTTGAGCAAAGGCTCTGGGTGAGATGTTGATGTACCACATCACCTCACCCAGGCTAGTGGACACCAGAGCTTTTGGGGAAAGTTCTTTTTCTCATTTTATCCCCTCCTTTCAGTGTGTCATTTTTCATGTGTTGTATGTTGAAAGCTTCTTTTGATGGAGCACATGGGATTACTATCCTTCCTGCTGCAGTGGAGCCGCAGCATCAAACACTGGCCTTACAGGGTCCAGATGGACTCCTAGGGTGCATCTCCGTAGACAATTAATTGTAACCACATTTCCCCCACTTGTCTTTTCCTTGCGTCTTAGTCCAACCCATGTAAGATGCGAGGAAAAAATCTGAGGAGTGAGGAACAAGGAAACATATGAGTTGTCCTTTCCTCCAGTCCTTTATCTGAAATGTCCAATCACCAACTGATTTCGGGAAAAGTGGCATGTTAGTCCACAGCTTCCACAAAGGATGCACTCTTGTTTCCTCCCTCATAGCTCCTCCAGGCAGCCTCCTTAATCCTCTTTCTTTAGAGCAGGAATATGAGCTTTGGGAAGTTCTTCAAGGTGGCGCATCGGAATGACTTCTGGGTCCAGCAAAGACTGAGGAACGATCAAACAACAGGATTTGGATGTACCGCTAGTTTAAACTATATATCCTTGATGACTTAACATTAAGCCATGTTCTGTCACTCACTTACACTACTCACATTGGACAGACTGACAAATTAAGTGCTTTTCCCCCCTGCCCAAAAAAAGTATGTTCATAGTACCATTTTCACTTTCCGGTGTTTACTTTTTTGCTTAGAGTTAGCTTAGAAGTTCAAGATTTCTAATTATCTGTGAAAGACGCTGTCTTTACTCCTCCCTGTCTTGGAGCAAATTCTGGCAGAAATGTCTCATCACCCCTACTCTGTTTTACTTTAAGCTGCCCTGCTGCTTCAAAGAGAACAAAAATTATGTGAGCCAAGTGCCTGATTTCTTACATAAAAAGGAGTGAAAATGAACTAGAATTATCACCTCACACTTGTATGCCTTCGCCAGTCAAATTCACGGGCATGGGACAGAAGTGAGGTCACTCATCTTTGACTACCAAAATCTAATCAGTTCATCTTTGAGTCCAAGTGGACACTTGAGCCAAAATTGAAGGAAATCCCTCAAGGCGTTCTTGACTTATCGCATTCACAAAAATGGGACAAGCGCCAGGTCACAGTGACCTTGACCTTTGGCCTTTCACCACCAAACTCTAATCAGTCCATTACTAAGTCAAAGTGGACACTTTAACCAGTTTTGAAGAAATCCCCTCAAGGTGTTCCTGTGATATCATGTTCACAAGAATTGCCTGTACGGACGGACAATGTGAAAACCTAATGCCTCTGCCTGTGGCTTTCGGGGGCACAATGGCATAAAAATCAGTCTTTGTCTAATGTAGATACAAAAGGCTGTGTTTAGGTAAATGTGTTTGTGAATGTGTGTGTGAATTGCAGATGCTGTGCATGTGCTTGAACATACTTAGACACACTCCTATTGTTGTCACCGCAATATCATCTCTGCTAGCATGTTTATAGCCGTCACAGTAAAAAGCACTCAGTCAGTGGTCATCCTAACTGGCTGCCTGCTTGTAAAGGGCATTTTAGGTCCAGCCACACTATTCACACCTCGTCTCTGTCAATTAGAGTTGATGGTGTGGGCTTGCGGTGATGAGCAAAGCCAGCCCGGACCCAAACAACACAACTGGAGAAACTGTAAGCATTCCTTAGTCCTGTTGTAAGGTTGTGACAACAAGGAATGCTGTGTAGGAATCAGCATGTCAGAATAACATCATTGCCCGGAAGATGCTGGAAACTTTTAGTGTGAAGAATGCCATTCACTGTCGGACAGCAACCCTGTGCCACTAAGTGTGTGGGGGGTTCTGTGTGTTCTGTTTTGTTACACGACTTCTATTGTGATATTTCTCTCTCTGGCAGGGGGAGCCAGGGCCTGAAGGACTGCGAGGACTGCCTGGTGTGGTGGGACCGCAGGTAGAACACACACAAGCTACTGCAGATGTTTAAAATTCTAGGATAATTTGTTATCTGTGAAGACAGGTATACTATGAGAAATATGTTTTGAAACATTTGCCATGATGTCAACTTGTATCTGTCATCAGGCTCCAGCTCTTTGGCTTTAGTTCATTTTTAGATCCCTGCTTCAAAAAGAATTTCATCATTGGAGTCACTGATTCCTTACACAATTTTCCCTCTTCTCCTTTTCCTCTTTCTGTACCAGGGCATAGCAGGACAAGCAGGCCTGCCTGGATTGAAAGGTGATAAGGTGATCTAAATATTTATATTATTGCAGTGTATCCTTGTGTCACTAGTTTAAGTCACATTATTGGACATATTATAAGAAATCCTGTTGGCATTTTGAGAACACAGTCACCAATATGATAGAGTGTGTAACTGGCTCTTTATGAGAAATACTGATATTAATTCATAATGCAGCAGCAGCTTACAACAGTTTACAAGTGTTAATGCATAATGTACATGAATATATAGTATACACTGTATGTAGAGGCCCTTTGTCTGTCTATGTTTTATCTATGGTCGTGCTGTGATCAGCATGGCAGGGTAGTGTTTTGTTATATCTCTTTATGATACTGTGAAATTTAGGGTGACGTGGGACAAAGGGGTGAACCAGGAGAGATGGGGTACCAAGGCGATAAGGTAAGTCTTCTCCCGTACAAGGAATATACAAGTGGATACCATGTGAGTACAATGGTTGTGGGACTGTTACATTCAGCAGTTTATAAAACGAGCGTCTTAGATTTTATTTCCACATCATTCTGTCATTTTTCACATTCCACCACAGTGTTTGTTTTTGGACATATGTTACTTGATAATACTTTTACAACCAATGCATATTTTTGTTTTTCCTGGTTGCTTAAACATGCAGAAGTGATCTTTGTTGGATAATAGCAGAATATAGAAAGGAATATTTGTCTTTGCAAACAAACATTTCTATGCAATCAGAAATACATTGTGTGTGTTTTGAATAAATGCAGATGTTCACTCATTAATCACCTGAAGTCACCACATAATGCTTATTCCATGTGAATATGGGTGTTATTTTGAAACGGACCACAGCAAACACACACAGAGGGAACATACGAGCAGTTTGAGTGTCATGTCGGTATCTTTCAGGGTGCTGCTGGCGTGCCCGGTCCTCCGGGGCCAAGAGGGAAACCAGGACCACTGGTATGTGCTTGTGTGAGTGTGTATGTGCCTGTGCAGTAAACAGAGCACCATAGTGAGATCTGTGTTAATGAGATTTGTGTTAGCTTGTAAATTGAAGTGAATGAGGTCACATTTACAACACACTGTATTAGCTTTATTGCGCAGCTGCTGGGTAGTGGCCTCCAGTGAGCGAAGAAAGAAGTGGGATAAACGTCTCAAACAACTATTTGACTGCTTATCAGTAGAAACAAGAAAAAAGATGAAAACTCCCCTGAATGCATTATTTACAAGTGCAGAAGCAGTCCTCTTCCACAGCACATAGTTTCTATGTAGCTGTAGTTACCACAGCTCTCCACTGTCTAAACGTGATCAGTTCATTATTTTTTCAGTAAACTACTTTCATTTGCACCTTGTGAATAGAATATTCACCAGGAAAAAAAAAAGAAGAGAAAAGTGTGACAAGAAAAATAAAATTGTTAAAATGGTAAAGCATATTTTTTAAAATTTCCTTTTTTTGTCTCCATGTGTTACTTGTATTTTAAACAGGGTAAAATTGGTGATGTGGGGCCACAAGGACCACCTGGGCCTCCAGGGCCAGAGGTAGAACATGTATATGTGATAAGTTTTCATATTCGACATTTTATTTGCCACCAAGTTTTCTCAGAACAGAGGAACAGAAAATGTCATTGAAAAATCCATGAGAAGTGAGTCTAAATCTGTGCACGTGATCATATCACCTCAACAAAGTAACTGATGTTCTGTGTTTAAAAGCTTAAAGCACATAACTTTTGGATTACAAGACTGGGTAGTTCACTGTTTACCTAAAGCAAGCAATTTATGTGTAACAACATAAATTGACATTACTGCAAATCGACAGTACACACAGTACAGCACTTACACTTAACCTTAATAAGATGGACTTACCTGAAGTTCAGCTTTTAACTGTCCAGGACAAGTTCCATTCTTTGCTTTTAGGCTAGTAAACCATTTTACACAGTTTAAAATGTTGTAAGTAGACAGCAGCAAGAAAGGAACTTTCTGTTTTAAATCTTCAGCTTCTGTGTTGGGTTTTTGCAGTGTTTTGGTACAGTAGTAGTAAGAAAGGATCTATAGTGAGGTCGCTCAAACACAAACACAGCTATAAAAAGATTATCATCTGGCTGTATCTTTACTCTCCTATTAGAGGACCTAGTGATGGGTCATGGAGTTCTCACTTGTTGCTGTCAGGAAAGCCAAACATTTAGCACATCCTGGGACTTCAGCCTTGGTCTCTGACACTAATTCCACTAAACCAAAGGCAATTTTAATCATCGGTTACTGGCCAAACCAAAACTCTGAGTCTGCTTCACTACAGAGCCAGAAAACAGAGATCCAGTCACTCCCTAGGCAGCCTCCTGACCATCTTTGGTTAGAGAACACTTTTCAAGCTCTGCACTCTTCAGCTGTGTGCACATCTCCTGATCTCCCTCTCCAGTCCAGCCCACCTGATCCTGTGAAGAAGAAGGGCAGATATCTAACAGTCACTCATGAGTGCCCACAACTGGGTACACCATTGTTCCAGAAGATTTCGGTGCGACAAATGCTGTCCTGTTGTGCTTCTGGTGGCATCTCTCTAATAAGTGACACTGAGATAGCCAAATCCAAACCTTCTGCTTCCAAGGGACATGTGTCAAAGATGTACACAACCCCAGATGCTATTTTAATATGACTAGCTCCAGCATGTCTGCTGTTGTTATGCAAACTGGGACAAATCACAAGGACTTAATTCACCTTACTGACATTTTCAAGCCCACTGCCCTCTCCTTGCTTTGGGGACATGAAGTTCAATTGCCTATGCAAGATGCATATCTTGCTCAAGAACTACTGCAGGAACAATAGAATTTTTCATGTAGGCAATTTTATGACTTGCATAAACCGGGCTGATCTGTTTTAATATGACACGCTCCACCATGGTCACGCTGAAATCATGGCCCTTCATGGCCATAGGTCACATACGTCGGCAGGCTTTTTTTTTAAATGACTGTGCCATGGCAGGTGTGCCTGAAGGTACCATCAGCTTCTATCAGCTCAATAGAAATTCATTATTATCTTTACATACGTTTTCTATAACCCTCTCTGTAGACTCCAGAAAGCCCCCAACTCTGTGTCTGTCAGATACAGATTGATGCAAGATGCTGGAGGAGCTGCTGTAATACATCAAAATGTACCCTAAATAGTCCTAAATTTATACTTGCCTGTAAATTTTACCCTCGTATGATATACGCAGAAGTTCAATCGGCTAATTTAATGCATGAGATCAAACTTAACTAATTTGTCTTGTGACTCATGACAGGTGAAATAATACTACAGTAGCATATAATGATGTTTGTCTGCTCCTGTTATTACAAGGGATTTCCTGGTGACATCGGAATACCAGGGCCCAATGGTTCACCTGGACCAAAGGTACAACAGCATCTCTGTCCTTCTGTTCATCCATCCATCCATCATTAAGTTGAATTCATGCATATGGCTGTATTTCAGGGTTTGCAGGGTGACCGAGGGCCCCAAGGCCCACCAGGGCCAAAAGGAATACAGGTGAGACACCCAGCTTAATCCTACATGTCTGCTTTGTTCTTGATTGACAAATGCAGAAAAGTGGAAACTATGGCTCATCAAGAATCACATCTCACATAAAGTCATAGCTTAGAACCTAGTAGGAGTTTTTTTTTTTCCTGCTATGTTTCTTGGGGCATGTTCCACTGGATGAGGTCATGATTCACGACTGGGTGCTTATGAAAACAAGGCTGAAAAATTTCCAGCCCTGGAAAAAAGAACCGAAGCCTTTGGAGGGTGTGCAGCACATACTTGTCTATTGTGTTTAATGTTACAGCATTGACCTGGCAACCACTCACAAAGGTGCAGAGTTTACCAGTGTATTTTGCTATGGAATCACAACACCTTAGTCAGATAAGAGTACAGAGGCAAAGCAGTTACTGGAAAAGTTTGATACCTGCTGCCTTATTGTTAACAGAGAAAAATTATACAGTATATAAAAACATGAACCATTCAGTCAACATATATCATACTGTTGGGAAACCAGGATGAAACACTGGGAGTTCTGACAGGCACATTCGTAGCTCATTCATGCCCTCGGGAGTGTAGTCAACTGAATGCTCCTCCAGAGAAGGCGCTCTGTCCTAAAACTCACTAGATTTGTTGCTAGTCCCTTTTTTGAAAAAGGTTGCAAAGGGGCCTTAAAAATCACAAAATTTTGCAACAATCTCACTAAGTTGGATAAACTGAGTACTGCTCTTTCAGCCCTGCTGATATTTAATCAAATATAATAGCACTGCATGTGTGTTTGGTATACCAGCTGTTTACTTGTTTGTTGGACTGCTGGAGAGTGTGTTTGTGTGTGTGTATGTTTGGATGTGATGGTCTGTACTGTTTTTGCAGGGTGATGAAGGACCACTTGGCCCACCTGGCAGCGCTGGCCCTACTGTAAGAACTTCTAGGGTCACATACTGCGTATACACAAACACACACAGACACGAGAACACACATACTGAACCATTTGTAGGTGGTTTGAATGATAAATACACTTAGTTGTTTTATCAGAAGATGCTCGGGTAAAATGTGAAAACCACATTGTGAGCTTTGCTATCTTTTATTAATTACTTGTGTGTTTGTCTCTGCCTTTCTTTGTAGGGGAGACCTGGGAGGAAAGGCTATATTGGTGAACCTGGACCCGAGGGTTTAGTGGTCAGTCTGCATTAGAGAACTCATGATTGCATTAGTCCTATATATTTATGGCACTTTCAATTTTAGATTTGTAAATAACTGTCAAGCCCTCTTAAAACATTATAGCATGAATTTTACCTACTATTGTCAATAGGAACTCAGCTGTGAACTAACAACATGTCCATGTCCTATGAGGAAAAAAATTATTAATGTTTCCACTAACATGTTTCCACTATTATAGTTTACTCACATTCAGTGTTTTTTTTAAATAATATTATGCATAGTGAACCATAAAATCTTTATTATTCCAAGATAAGGGCTGACAATATCATGACACTTCTATTTGCAAATTATCTTGACTAAATTTTTATTACGCACCAGAGCCAGTTCATGTCCAGTTTTTAATGCTTTAATGTCTTATAATAGAAAAATGTAAGTTCACACTTGCCTGATGATTCTTGTCTGTATCAGTTGCCTTGAAAAATTACTGACTAAAGTGAGAAACTGAGGAAAAATAAGTTAAAAGAATGACAGTGTGATAATCTGCTATACCTCCTTTTTTGGGAGTGTATTCTCAGTTTAGAAGATTTAAGATTTGTTGCAACTGGCTTTTGCACCCACCAAAGGTGCTGTGATGGTGGTATCATGTGTTTCAAAATGTTATTATCCTCAGTCATGATCTAGCAATTACCTCTGACTGCCAGTGTCCCCATGTTTGTGACTCGATTACTGTAAGTCTAGACTTACTGAGCTGTAAGCATGCTCTTAATTAGGAGGGAAAATTCCAGGGTTATACATTCTGTCATACATTCTGGCCAAACACAATGAGAAGCTGCACAAAATTATTTACTGTTTCATAATGTGAGTGAGTGTGTGTGGGCCTTTTCAAATGTGTGATATACTGAGAGTCCTGTATCAGTAGCAGGGCTGGATGGTGACAAAGATCCCTTTAAATACAAGAAATTAACAAGCACACTGGTTGGTATTTTCTCCTTACAGGGAGAGAAAGGAGACATTGGAAATATTGGAAAAATCGGACCACAAGTAAGTCACTTTCACACTTGTAATGGCATTAATCATTAGCCATCCTGCTGGGCACTAATAGTTTTTCATTAAATTGGCAAAAAGGGTCAAATTGGCATCTGTGCTTTAGCTGTTTTAATAGTTTGCTTAAAGATTAATGCGCACAGTCCAATATGATAATGCCTCCACAGTGTAAATGAAATCCTCCTGTACGACAACTGTGGAGGATGTTTTCTGACCCACTTTTCATAGTAAGAATTTGGATGATCTTCCACTACCAAATTGTGTTTTCATCATAAAATTGGCAGAACACCACAGCAGTACCAACGGAACTCAAACTAGAGATCCTCTGTGGAAGTGACCTCATATGTCTTGCATATTTTCTCACGTAGCAATGCCTGCCAGAGCCTGTTTGAGGTCCGTTATTGCTCAAGATTCATAATGATGTTGCATGTTGTTAAAGTGCAAAAGTGTAGAGTCCCCATCCTCAAAAATGTTGTTCTTGTTGTTATACACCACAAATACATAGTACATAGTTTGTCACAGGCTAACAGGCTGTTTTCACAGTCCTCTGCTGAAGGGGGCAGATGCCAGCTTGCTTCCCTAAAATCTAAGGTAGAAATACACAAGCAAACAAAAGTTCTGATGCCACAAACCTGAAAACCAGTCATGGGTCACCATGAAAATATCTGCAGATTGTAGAGGTGCAATCCTCTGGTCTCAGAGTAGTCAGAGCTAACTTCTCAGTGAGCAGGAGTGGGATAGAAAGTTTTATCTAGTGACATCAAATATTCTGGAGTGCACGGTTTGTGGATGTAAACCAGTTCTGGGGGATTCGATATTTAACATTCATTTAAATGAGATGTGTCATTGTTAGGGTATGCTGCTAAAACCCAGTGTCCTGGTTTACTTTTTAGATCAACTGAGAAAATAAAAAGATACGGACATACAGTACTATCAAACTTGTAGTGAGGCTGTAAATACATTTGCATTCATGCCAGTGTGAAAACACTTAGCGGTATTAACTTTATACAACCACTTTGGCTGTGCTAGCCACCACAGCTTGTAGCAGACCCGTGATCAGAGTCAGAGTCTGAAAGGGTCTTAACGTGTCCAGCTGAATCTCTCCAACATGCGCTCTTGCCAGTGAATCCTGATACACAGTGATTTTACCGTCTGCACTTGGGAAGGAAGCAGCGGTGCTGACAGTACACAATGGCATGGCCCATTTGCATATATTTGAATATTCATGAATCTTGAACTTCACAATGAAGGACAAAGACCAGATGTGTTTTCAGGCCTTTTCAGAGGTTTATCAACATAATTTTGTTGAAAAACCTTTGTTAGACTATATATTTTTCATAGTAGAATGTTGTTATGTGTCTTAAAATGTCTCTGGAGGGGATCTTTAAGTAGAAAATGTTAATCAAAAAGATGTTGGTCTTTGTTCATTAAGTGGCTCTGCAAGTGTCTCACAACTTTTGTTACAGTTTTTCTGAATTGCTAAAACACGTTTCTTGAAACCACCACTCATTTTCTCAAAACCTTAAACACAAATCCAAATACTCAAACTAAATTCACAAAACCTCTGACTCGTCTGGCAAAATCAAGCAATTGCTTCAAAACCATGTCACCAGCACTCAAAACCAAACAATGTTTTCAGATCATACACAAATGAGTCAATCATATACACACTGCAGCTCAGTCATTAGACACTAGATCAAAAAAAGGAGAACACAGCATCCAGGACATGTAGTTACAACAAAAAGTTTATTGTATAGTGAATTTACCAAAAACCATGTTACGATCAAAAAAGAAGAAGAAGGAAAAAAAACACATCAGAAAGATTATTCAGCCCCAGGATCATGTCTTTGAGCTGGGCCTGGCCAGAGGACTTCATCTATGTCACAGGCAATGTTGCCCTCTGGCCAGGGAAAGGGCAAAAAATCCTCTGGTGTGGCAGATCCAGCCTTGACAAGACTGCACGTCTATCTCACCACAGGCCAGTTCCATTGCCTGTAAGAGATTTTACCTGGTATATGGGTTTCGGTCATAGACTTTCCACCGCCATGAAGAGAAAAACTCTTCTGTTGGGTTGAGGAAAGTGCTGTATGGTGGAAGGTCTTACTCTTCCTCATCCTTTTTGTCCAACACCTCATATTCCTCTACCTCTCATATTGTTATCCATAGTTGATGGATGTACCTGTGCCATCTGTGCACTTTGAACTGGCTTATGATTTGTACCTTCTCATCACATAATTAGAAACAAGTGTGAACAATTTTGAATCGTTGTGTGTAAACGATGACAACTGTGTTTTAGTTGTGTTTAAGTTCTGCTGTCCTCTGTTTAGTGTTTTGCAACACAGGTTCATCACAGTGTGAATTGTGTTTTAACGAGTGAGAATGTGTTTAGAGTTTAGCAAAAAGAGTGCATGAGATTTGTTAACAGAGTCTAAATGCCTGAACTTGTTTAAGGTTTTGCAGAAAGAGTGATTTATTTGACAAATTGGTTTAGGCTATTGAGAATTTGGTTCAGATAATGGGGTTTATTGTTTTAGCAATTGTGAAAAACTGTAAGATTGTTTCTAAGTGTTTGTGTGTTTTGTTCTGTTTTGTTTCAGTTAATGCTTTTATCCAACACAAATACTCCATAGAAGTGCTTGGACATTTCCCCTTTGTAAAATCCTCATATGCACACAGCCTCTCTAAACATCCGAAGTATGCTCATCCTTCCCTGATGCCTCTTAATGTTAATATTTTCATTCTGTGCTTAGTGAAAGCAACCAAGCAGGCAATTGCTGCAGTGCAGAGGGATTAAACAGTTACTGAGTAGCCTTTGAAGCCATGTGGCTATGCAAAGAAAAAACTGTACAATGCACGGAGCTTCCAATGAATGTCATTATGTCACTTTCCAAATAAGTTAGATGTGTTCACTGAGTGCTCCTATTTCACCATGAAACTTCTCATAAATGGTTTCATGTTATGTTTTACCAAAGATTTTATGGTGTTGTGCATTTTAGCCAATCTAAACCGGCTGCTGAGATTTATTTTTAAGTCACCCTTCGGTCAACAACTAATAAAACATGCATCAGTCCTCGGGTAGCAGCAGCAGCACTTTGAAGTATAGTCCACATCAACCTCTGTGCTTTGATTTTCATGATTCAGTCTGTACTCATATATGTGAATGAGAAAGAGCCACATGTAAAGGAGAAGCTTACTCCTAACTGTATGTGACTTGGGCTGTGTTTCTTTCTTACTTGTTAGGTTAAAGGTTATATCATTACTTTTGTAACCCAGGCTATGTCTGAGAAACCAGATCACCTTCAAAACAGTACTGTAAAAGCTCCAGTGCCAAGGCCCTGCCACACGGAAACCCCTTTAAAACTATTACATTCTGTTAAATGATACAGCGTACCACACTGCCTCACTTCATGTTCCAATTAAGGGATTTGAGGTCAGTTAAGAGCTCCGTTCCCATGCCTGCAGGCCTCAGACCTCTCATAGACACTCTAATCCATTGCTCAGCTGCTTTACTTGCGTCCAACAGGATAATGCCATTTCGGTGATGATACACAAGAAACACTTTGAGGCATTTAGCCTTTTAGCTGAGTTAGGGAATAGCAACAGGAGCATGGTATTTACCTTAGTGGGCTTATTCTTGTTTTTGTTACCAACAGTTTCTTTTTATCTGTCATTCTCTTTTGCTTTCTCTCTTTCTATTGATTCACAGAAGGATGCACAAAAGAATAAAAATAGGAAAAGAATGAAAGTGAATAAGAATATATACTACAGTATATTACTGTATTTAGTTTTACTGTTGGTCTGGATCACCAGAACGTCTAGTGGAGAGGCTGGCACGGCTCCAGACCACAGCACCTGACAATTGATCTGGAAATGGTTACTCTCATATTTATATCAGCTAGCATTTTCCCCACAAGGACTCCTTTACTAAGTAGGAGAGATCTTTTGGGGATGCTCTGCATTGAGTGACTGTGTGCTGTGAAATTAACTTACTCCTAATAATTTCCAGTCATTGTTAAACGATAGGTTATAGCCAATATAAACCCAGCCTGGCTACCCCATCCAAAGTTTTCTGGATCTGCCCCTGAGTCCAGTTAACGCAGTAGGTCAGGTCCTCATACTTACATACAGACAAACCTCCTCCTGATTTGTTGTCTCCTCCTTTCTTCTCTTTTCCTCTCCTTTCCAGGGTCCGGTAGGCCTGCCTGGGATAGCTGGGGTGATAGGCGTTCCAGGTGAAAAGGTAAAGCATGTGTTTCTTTATCATTATGCTGTCAGTCAGTGTTTGCTAGTTGCTTGTCAATTGCAGAGCCCTTTAAGTGTTAAGCAGCCATGGCTTGAGGCCCCAGAGGGTCCAGAACACATGCGTAGGTAAACATTCAGTACTCTCACCATAACAGTAAAAGCCATAACACCATTACAGCCTCTCACCCATCTGCCCCTGTGTTGAAGCAAATCCAGGAGGAATTCTCAAGTTAGTAGTGACCAAACCTCTTTCAGCATCACTGTATATCAGAAACCTCAAAGTATGCTTGTTCCTGATGGGTGCCATCAGACATGTGTTGTGCTGAGATACACTGTTGATCAGTCAAATGCAGGCATCTAAAAATATTCATAAAGCACTCTGGAGAGGCTTTCTTAATGTCCTCAGCTTAAAAGAACATATTTTCAGTAACTCTGCAGCCTTCATGCTCAAGTGAATTTAAAGTGCAGGTGGTGATTATTGACAAACTTCCCAAAACACCCCCTTTTTAACCATCTATTTCCATTGTTCCTTTCCTCTGTCTTAACCTTCCTTCCTATCAATAACGTGTCCTTGCAATGAGAAGCTGTCTGCTCGTCAGACTCTTGCTCATCCTCCACCTCATCTTAGGCAAAATCCTCCTCTTCACTCAGTCCGGCAGCACTAGCTGTACCCTGACAGTCCACAAATTCCTTTCATATTATATATATATGTTTAATTCAATAGTACCCCCTAATTTATACTTGTTTTCAACATAGAGCCTTAAGTCAATTCTTCTCTTTGTTTGATAGAAGCACAACAAAAACTGAAAGGGTACTTGTACAGTCATGAAAGTTATAGCTCAAGGAGGATTAAAGCATCACTGACACAAGTGTTAGAGTAGAGACCTACTGTAGGCAGCTTTACTGCTCACCCCACGTTACCATTGCTTTTAATATTGGTCAGTATCCCACAAAGTGAGTTTCCAAGTACCTGCTTGTTTTAATAAACTCCTGAACTTTTCTAAACTAGCTGTCACTGTAATCCTTTGCATTTAAGAAGGTGAACTCCAGTTTCGTAGCTCTTTATCACAAAAAGTAAATGCAAATCTGTGTAGAGGTTTTCTGTGTTGATCTGCTCTCTCTCTCTTTCTCTGTCTTACTGTATTCCCCAGGGTGACCGAGGACCAGCAGGTCCAACTGGTCCAGCTGGGGAGAAGGGGCCAAGGGTAAGTATAATCACTCAGGATATACTGCAGAATGCTGCTTCTTGTCAGAGTGTTGGTAAACCCCAGAGCCACAGGCTTTTCAAGAAATCAGTGAGACTACAACAGCCTACCACAGCTTGAACACATTGTTCAATAAACTAATGTCTAACAATGATGAATATAAAAGTGAACCACTAAGCAATGTTGGCTCTAAAATTTGGCAGACATTTCTTAGCTGCAAGGTCCAATTCATGGAAATGAAAGAAGACTCTCTGGAGGCCTAAAAGGTTCCAGACTCCCCAATGCTGTAACTTTCGTGGAGACCAATCTTTGCAACTTTCCACTGTATCAGATAGTTTCTTTTTTCCACAGTTACTGTACGTTGAAGATAGAGCCACTGAAAAAAACCTTTATTCAGTGCCTCTCTCAGATCTGGTGTGGTTGACCAGATCTAGAGAGTCAACTCAGCTGGTATCATGTCTAAATCGTCACAACTAACAGGTTACGGCTGTGTGACAAAAGGCCAGCAAGTAGCCACAGGGCGTGAAATCCCAGTTTCTGTTTGTTAAACAATGTTGGAACCTTTTTGTAATATATGGCCATGATTGTTGTTCACTAAATGTGATGTCTCTTTGCAGTCAATTCTCTATTGCTAGGATGGGATCACTTGCACCCTAATGTGTGTTTTTAAAATGTGTTTGTATGACCGTTATTCTGACAGTATTGAGCACTAAACAGAAAAGGCTTGCTGCTGAGAAGATGACTAATTTTGAGACTTGCTGGCTGAATAGTTAGATGGTTGAATCACCGCTAATGTGTGTGTGTTTGGCTGAGAGAGATAGATCTGTGACTTATGTAAGGAGTTAGAGTGATTTGTGTGAACCAGTTTTATTTTGTATAATTTGTTTAAATGAGCAATGAGTGTCAGTTCAGTGGCAACACAGATAATGATCATCTCATGAAAGTCTGTTTTTGCTTGAAGCAGACTGACAGGGATTACCGTTACTATGTTACAGTAATATTTCTGATAAATCTCAGGCACTTTTCTCTTTGCTGACTATATTTGTTATTAGGGTATTGTTCCTTAATAAATTAATATAGAAAGAAAACCGGTATTGGTCAGTGCAATGATGAAAAACACAGTCTCTTTTTTTTCTTGGTGTTCTTAGCCTATGTGAAACACAGTTCTACAGATGTAAACACTAGTTATTGTGCAGAGTTGTTGCTGCAGTGTTGCTCGATACTAGTCATTGTTAAAACCCTGACACATAGATACAGCAGTCTGTCATGTCTACCTTTCTATACTTTTTTTCTGTTTTTGTATAAGGGCTATCCAGGAGTGCCAGGAAGTCCCGGGGACATCGGCATGCAAGGTACACCAGTAAGTGTCATACCCTTGTACCCAGAGATTACTTGCAATGGGAAGCCTGCAAATAAATCTATATTTATTGTATGTATTGAGAAGAAGTGTCTTTACTTTTCATTTTCTTGTGTACATTTATTTCTTTAGCTTCTTTTTCTGTGGTTTTGTTGTTTTGAACTGAGTCATATCAGTATTTAATGGAATGAGAAACTTGGATGCATCGTCTAACACGGTGTCTTGGCGTGATATTATAAACACTGCTAGATTAACTCAGAAACATCCTACACAGATTTTGAGAAATGTACTTATCTATTTATAAACAGTATATCTTCCTTGGCTGATTGTACAGTTAGCTATTAAAAGAAGGGTAGAGAGGTTTATCCCTATTTAGTTTGTGCAAATAGTCCCTGTGTTTTATCATTGGTCTGACTGCATCATTCCAAAGAAACACTATGAAAGGTTTTCTGACAAACGCCTCCCTTTTCTCCAACTATGTTTTCCCAATCTTTTCTCTCTCTCTCTCTTCCATCTTGTGTCTACCCTGTTTGCTGATTCCATTTTTTCTTGCAGGGTCCACAAGGGCAAAGGGGTAGTCCAGGCATTGCTGGGCCAAAGGGCAGGAGGGTAAGAGGGGTTCTTATCTCTAGGACATTAATTGCATGAGTACTTCAATACAATAGAGACCATGAAACCCTCTTATCAGACTTTGGTTGTCTGTTTCACATCACAGCTCCATGCTCACAAACTAGTGGTTAAAGGAATTAAATGATGTGTATTTGTCCTTCTGCTTGGCCCGGGCCTCTTTGTCGGTGCTTTTACAACTCTTTTATAAGCCCTATGAGTTTCATGTTGGAAGCCATTATGGTAATTTCAAATGGATATGGTGTGGTGATACTGTTGAAACATCATGTGGCTCTGAGGAGAATGGCACCTTCAGGCTTCTTGGAGATTTGTAGAATTCTACTCTACTGTAACAGTAGCAGCAACTGAGGTCCATCGTGTTGATTATACAGTGTCACAGATCAGAGCAAACAAAGGACAAATGAGAACATATTTCATCTGAGTTTCTCAACTTCATCTTCAAATGCTAGAGTTAGAATGCATAAAGGCTATATCACAGCATGAGTTGTGCCTTAGGAAGCAAAATTAAACATTTTTTACTTATGCACACCTCAAATTATGTAATATAACTAAAATGGACCCTGGACAAACTTGACGGGTCTGCAAATCACAATAATCCGATTATGTTTAGTTAAATCTGGATTCACTTATCTGTACTGTTTTGTGCTTGTTCACAAAGAGTTAGGAATCATTAGACAATTGTTAGAGCTAATTATGTATGTAAACAACTGAAAAAAGTGAGTTTATTGGGTTTTAGTTTGAATGTAATTAACAGGTGAAAATAAGTTTAATGTTTGTTTGTTGATTGTTTGCCTGCCTGGTAGTCAGACCAGCATGTCCTACAGCAGAGAGCTACGGTAACCTTGCACCAGTAGGTCTCTCTAAGGACCGCTCATCAGTGGTAATGACTTTATCACAACCTATGACCAGAAACTCAATTTTTTAACCACTTTAAGTTAAATATTTGAAAGAAGCCAGTTTAATATCGATGAGGATCAAGCACAAGTTAAAACAGCACATCGTTTGAAATATTTAATGCAAAGAGAACAAAAGATAAAGCTCAGGAGCCTTGGGAGTATGAACAAAAGCCGGATGTTCAAGCAAATTAGGTGCAGGTAGCCATCAGAGGTGGAGACGGAGCGGGGAGACAAGATGGAAACAAAAGATAGAATGAAAGAGGCAAAGTCTTTTAAGAGTTTTGGGTTATTTTTACAGATTGCTATTTATCGTTCTACCTCTTTAGTGGTGCTCCAATGCTGGCAAACCCCTGGAATGTGTGTGGGAGTGATCAGGGCAAGAAACCCCCAAGTAGATATAGAATACAGACTAATTGCATTGTTGTTGGTGTTATTTCAGAGTTAACTGTACAGATGTCAACTTGTGTATGGTGCTTTGATGCTAAATGTATTCCTGCACCCCTTATTCTTTGTTGGGTGATGTTCAATGGCATGTCTCATGTTACTGTTGCACAGGGGCCCCAAGGTCCAGATGGCCCACTGGGAGAACCAGGCCCTGAGGGCACCAAGGTAAACATGCATGTGACCGTCATATAGCATCAACATCCACAGGTGAAGATGGTATAGATATAGTACGTTTGCATGAAATGTGCCCCTCTTTGTGTATATTAGTAATAGAATTATGTGCTCAGCTTGGGGACACTGCTTTTTTCACACCTACTGAATGGTGTATTTCATTACTGTGTTTCTAAAATATGCCATATTTTTTATTTTCAGGGCGAAAGGGGTGACACTGGACAAAAAGGAGAACCAGGATTCAAAGTAAGTACTATTTAATTAATATGTCTTTCCACTTATACAAACCTGTGTAAAAGGAAAGGAAAGGCATGATTGTTGGTAGTTAACATGCCATAAGGCTGTGAGCCCTATTTATAATTACTGTTAAACATACTTTAAAGTACCTTTGACTGCTGAATGGTTAGGATCCTCTAAATGTTTTATGTTGACCAAATTTCTGGCTGAAGACTCCTAAGAAATGAGAAGTTTGCTGTATATGTACACTTATTTTTTGTCCAAAGTCAAGAATAATGATTGTCATAAAAAAGGCATCACCCTGCAGCCTCTTTGTCAACAGGCATGTCCCTTTTGACGATGCACAATTCATTGATCGTCTCAGATTCCATTATAACCCCAGGGCCTCTGTAAAAGCTTCTATTTGTCTTTGTATTTGCCGAATGGGTCTTTGTTTTCTCACCTCTGTATCAGCTTATACCCAGAAGTACTACTGCCAGCTTGTTGTGAGGAAACCTGAGCTAAATCTTCTGAGTAGAAAGAAGATAAAATCAACTTATTTTTAACTGGTCCAGCTCAGCAAGATGTAGTCTATCTTTAGTTTTGCCTCTTTTAACAGAGACTTTCTATAAGTGTGCAGGTATATCAGCTCAGCTGTTTTATGTGGAGACACATCTGGTGCACGTGTGGTGTATGTATGCCAGTGTGTTGATATGTGATGCCTCCTCAGGTGCTGTTAATTTAGGTTGAGTGTAGTTAAAAGAAAAGAATATTGGATGTGCGTCATCACTGAAGTCATCACTTTATTGTAAACTGCAAATGTTTATCCCTTCATCAAGTTTATGTCAGAGCTATAGCATTTATAAACAATCAAAGCATTTTTGTCTTGCTGAATCATTCAAATGCCTCTGGCCAGATTAACAACACATAGCATGAGCTACTGCAGTTGCATTGTATATTCATCTCAAGGAAATTATCCAAACTTGAACTATTTATCAAAAAATCAAAATCACCAGGAGCTTGTTATTGCTGCACATGTGGCCATCTCAAGTGTTATATATCATTGTTAAAGCAAAATCATCAGTCATTGAATGTGGATGTGATGCCAGTGTTTTTCTCAGAATAAATTGAAAACAGTTAGGTTGATTGAAGCTGCATGTTGATCATTGAAATATTGATTTCTCTCTTTGCAGGGCAAAGCTGGCAGTCCGGGAGGGAGAGGCCTTCCTGGGAAGCCTGTGAGCATTACTTCATTATTTCTCTGTTGAATGTGTCTGTCTGTCAGAGCTTTAACTGCCCTCTTCACTTTAACAAGAAATATCGCTATGGTACAGCAGAAAACACAGGCTTGTAAAATATTCCCACATCATTCTTTCATATGTAATATGCATATATAATTATTATTCGTTTGGCCCATTAAAGTCCCCCAAGAGGAAGGTGTCATTAAAAGAAAACACTGAGCAACAGGGATGTAATGATATTTGTAATTTTGTAATATCACAATAGAAAACTTTCTCAATAATGCTGTGAAACTGTGATGTATCTACCAGGATATTACATAAGGTTACTTCACTAATATAACTGCGTTTGGATCGCAAAATTTGACATGGACATGGTGGGTGCTTCGTTGTCGACTTTTACAGCTACTGAGTGGCAGCATTTCAGTTTTCCTATTTCAAATAATGACTCAGTTGGAAAGGAAACTGACAAATGCTGAACAATTTGCTCATACTGCCAGACCAAGGCAATACCGGCTCTGTTTAGGACTGAGACAATCTTGGATGCATCTTGCAGAAACAGTCGGAACACCGCTGTGCACAACACTTCACCAGAGATGGGCAAACAAACTGGATGCACATAATCAAAACCAACCACTTAGTAACCATCCTTAGTCTTATCTTTTGACAAGTAAATGACGATGTTTGAAACACGCCTCCAGTAAAGCACAAATCTCACCTTAATGTGGCCTGTTCTAGTGTAGTTTGGCATCTTCTTCTCCTTGTTCTGGTGTGCCAGAGGGTCCAGTGACACAGAACCCAACCACCAGTCAGCACAGCCACCAAACAGGAAAAGTAAAACCCACCTAGAAGGTACTAAACCACTAATGTTCTACTGTGACTATTTGTTTTGTTTGCAAGACCCAGCTGCTGCAGTAGTATTTTAAAAGCACTGCTTCTGAATGTTGCATTATGCTTTTTTGTTTTGCTATTGTAAACAGTTCAGTAATTCAGTGCCAGTGACTATTCATGCCAAGTTTGTGCACTGTGGGTGGCCACTTTTATTTTAATAAAAAAGAAAAGCAGGAGCACTTTAAGTTAAAAGGAAAATCATACAAAAATGCTAATTTATTATTTAGTAAAAGGCTTTTTCCATCTATTTTCTTCATTGTTTTAATATTATGACAACCTATTGTGGAGTTTTTAACATGGCAATATTGTACCATGAGTTTTTGGAATTGTTACATCCCTATTGAGCAATGCCTCCAGGTTCGTCAAAACATGTGAATGTATGTTCCCTTACTCATCTAATGCTTGTGAGTGTAAGATTTTCATCCAGCATACAGTACTAAAATCAATTTGTTATAACACTGCTTTGATGAACACAATATACCAACACACTGTACGTGGAACTGGACAGTATTTTCTGCTTCTGCATATAAGAAATAATGAGAAACTCATCACATTCTCTGTATATTAACATAAACGTCTTCGGTATTTCTTCACTATAATATCTTGTCAGTATGTCTATCTAATATCAATCAGTGATATCAACCAGCAGATGTAGTGGTCGGAATCCACTTTGGGTGCAACTTCAGCAACCCCCAAAGCTGTGTCTTTTCAACAGCTAATATAACTACTGTGTATGGGACACACATACAAAGTAAACATCTAACACTGACGCCAGTGTCTTGTTTTAGTGCCACACAATAACAAGTTGGCAAACTCCTGGTTTTTCTTTTTCACCATTAACAAAATGATGTATGGTAGTTTTCATATGCTTTTGAACTGTTAAAGGGTAAAATAACTGTTGTTCCACAGATGGTGGAGACATGCAAACAATAACGAACTCCACAGCAGATCCGTGTCAGTTGTCTAATAATCAAGTGATGAACATTACAGTATGTTTCCTATAGTGCAGTTTGTTCCATCCACTTATGGCAGGGCTCACAAAGGATGATTTTCAGTCGAAGAAAAGATCTTAACACCTGCATGGACGCGCCCCATGTGGTTTGGCTTGTCTTATTTTCCACTGACAAATGAGCTGCTTTCCACTTTCTCTAATTACGCTTTAGCCTAATGTTTGACAACTCAGACTGTTTGTAATTACTCTTAACAGACACACACATAGACACATGCAGCCCTGTTCTCCCTCTTTCTCATACAGCCATCAGTACACCCACACATAAAGTATACAGAATGTTCGTTCACATTTATGGACGTTACAACACGCGCACTTATGGTAGGTGCTAGTTGTGACCTGTCTGCCTAAGCACATGTTAAGTTCTGTTGCGCTGCATGAGGTCACAGTAGGTTTCAAACAGAGGTCACTGCAGTTTGAGCTCCATTTCAGAGTAAAAAGTTCCTACTCACAGTAATTGTAGCTTGGACCCACTGTTGCTACTGTACTTGTGTTAAATGAAGAACACGTGACCCTCTTCATCCCTTGCCCGCTATCGTCAGAATCAGTGCTTTGACAAACCTGCGGTATCAGATAACACTGCTGGCATGTTGTGAGGGAAACCTGAGCTAAATCTGCTGAGGAAAAGGAAGATAAAAGTCAACTTAGTTTTAAGATAACAGTAAACTCAGTGTTGAACTGTTCCAGCTCGGCGAAATGTAACTCAGCGTTAGGTTTGCCTGTGATGCCTTGTTTTAATAAAGAGATTTATGATCTCCAGTTCTCTAGAAGAGCACAGGTGTATCAGCTAAGCTTTTTTAAGTGGGAACATGTTGTGTTTGTATGGATGCCTGTGTGTTAGTATGTGATCCCTCCTCATGTGCTGTTTGTTTATGTAGTGTAGTTGATAGAAAAGGATACTTGGGGGATGTGCATCATCACTGATGTACCCTGTTGCTTTACTGTAAAGATGGCAAAATGTCTGTTTAGAAGTGATTCTAATGTTATTTCCACAGAGGTCCCTACTGTACTGTAGTTGTTTCAAAGGATTGATTTATCCATATTTCTGCCGCTCACAGACAAAACTAACCCTGAGGGGATTCATAGCATCATTATCACTGAACCTCAGACAAAACATTATGTTGCAATGCTGCTGTAAATACTGCACCTGTGGGTGCTGAGAGTGGTACGCTGTAGCATTTCAGCTGTCAGCCTCTAAAGTCATAGCACCATCTTGTGTTTGATAAAATCTTATTCAAATCTTGTTCCGTGATTCAAAAACATTGAGCAAATCCATTAAACTCATGCTACTATTTTTGATGTTGGAACCTATTAAGACTGTATTTATTGTCATAGAGCATTATATTATGTACTCTAGTTTTCCTAAAATTTTATAAAAATTACCTAATGACTCTCACTTTTCAGCAATAATTTCCACTGGACGTTTGCACAATGTGGGAATTCCATTGAACGTTTCATTGTTCCTTTTCCTCTTTTACTTTCAATTCAGTGTCACTCTTTAAAGGCCTAGTTTACAAAGCTTGAGACATATGAATAAATAAACTATATATGTTTCTTCTGAGTTGTAGGTAATAAGTAAATAAAAGCAAAAGACATTTCAGTATTAAATATGATGAGTTAAGTTGCAGTGTTTCACAGCGGAACATGTAAACCTATTTATTCCACAGCTAATGGTGATGCTGCTGAATTCATTGCTATCTCATGCAGGTTTTGCACATTAGTTTTAGTGTTTGGATGGACTGTTTATCTTTTACACACACAAAGGTAATTGTGTCTGGTCAGCGTTGGACTAAATGCTATTTCAGATTCAGTTGTCTTTTCTAAACTTGTCAACACAGTGTCTGGACTGCAAAAAAAGAAATCTGACATTCAGGAAAACTATTAGTGTGTATTGCTTCCCAGACTTTGTCCATAATTTTTGTAGCTATTAGGTAACACTTAAATATTAGTTACTCATCATGTAAGTAACAATGGTGATGCTAATGATGACAAGAGCACTGTGGCTAAGTTTTCTCATGTTTGTTTTCTGGAATTACACAAATGAATGACTGAAGCTACATGACCTCATGACTGTGTGTGTCTCCAGGGTAAACCAGGGATTCCAGGCAGCCCCGGGGAGAGGGGACCCCAGGGTAAACCAGTGAGTATGCTGTTTACTGACTGTTGCATTGATGTGGTTGTTTCGGGAAACTGCTGGCAACAGCGCACATTGTGACAAGTTCTCTGGAAAGTGTAAGGGCTGCTCAAGATAATGTGCACAGAACCACTACTGCTTACAGAAGTTTCACAAGGAAGAAGCTTTGTCGCATTTTAAAGTCACATACTTTTAGGGATTAGTCTTGAAGTTCTTGATTTTCTTGGAAATCTGCTGACCCCAAGTCAAGAATGTTAAACAATCAAATACAAATATTTCCTAGAGTGAGAGGTATCTATAATGTTGGAGGCCTGGTTTATGTCATGGGTCTGACGTTGCTTTTGGCTTCCATCTTCTTACCGAAGGCATTCTGAGATGTCAGTTTCCTTTTTCTGCAGACAAAAAAAATATATATATATTTTTTTTGCCAACTCATGCTGGAGTTGTTTATTAAATCTGTGTCTGCGCTATACCCCCCAATTTACTATACTTTGTATGTCTAAGACTGAGATTGCTCTGTCACTGTTAATGTATCTAATGATAGTTTATTTTTCTTGTAGGGACTGAAAGGACCTCCTGGAGAAGCTGGACCTCATGGAGAACAAGGACCTGAAGTACTTTTTTTTAAGTATTCTAATTAATAATCAGTTTATTGTTAAGTGTTTTATAGTTGACATTCATATGCTTACAGTACAAATTAAACATGCTTACGCCTGTCTCACCTTTGCAGGGGGGACGTGGTGCAGAGGGGGAACCAGGTGCCATTGGAGAGCCAGGGTTAAAGGTCAGTACAACTTGGCTATTTGTTTTTTGTAACCACCACTGCATCTTAGACAAAAGCATTTGTCATGTAGACCACCCACAGGCAACGCAGAAAGCCGTGCTCTTGTTCATACCATATAACTCATGGGCTCATAACTGTCGCCTTGGGTAAAACAGCTGATTGTCAAGTCTTAACACTGCTTCTGCTCCATGTGTCCCTGGTCAGTTTAAGTGTCAGAATGTGAATGCAAATATAAGTGTGTTGACATTCTGACAGCCCTGTGTGTTTTGTGTCCCTGCAGGGTGATGCTGGGCCTCCAGGAGCTGAAGGGGAGCAGGGACAGGAGGGAGTGAGAGTGAGTGACTGTAAACAACCCACTAATCTCTTCTTTCCTTGTGTTTGGGTAAATCTGACCCGGTCATACAGTATATTTACTCCCCCTCATTCTGAAGAGGATGTCTAATTCCTTGGCCTGAAGAAAACACAAAAATGGGATTATTTTTGTCTGACTGACTGTATAAATAGCACTTAGATTGCTTGAGTCTCATCATTCTGTCACAGATTTAGATTATTGATTATTTAAATTCATCTTATCTATATTATCTAGTAAAGATAATTACATTGTTGTCCATCATGCACACATTGTAAACAGTTTTACATGGTTCTTAGAATAAATACATAAACTTGATCATAGTAGAATAATTACATCAGTATTTATGACTGGTCATCTGGATATTCTCACTCCTCCTTCAGAATCAATCACTTACTTAGTTTCCTTCCTGAATTTTAACTTTTTGCTCTTCCCTGTCTAATCATCTCTTGACTATATAGAAAATAAATCCAGTTAATATATCGTCTATAATATATTTAGATTATTTTCTTTCATAGAAATGAACTAATAACTTAACACCCCCTTCAAATCTTATTTTTACTTACTGCCAGTGGTTTAACATCTCACCTTGATTCAGTCATGCACAGCTGTAATTCCAGACACAGTGACATCACTGTTGGGTGTGTACAGGTACGACAGAGCGTGCTTCTGACCGCACCCTCCAGTGAAGAACAGCCTTCGAAACTTTCACCCAGAGAGGGCAGTGAAACATTGCTTTTCAGTCTGTTTCAAGTCACTCCTGAGTTCTTACATGTTCCTCACTGTGGCAGTCGCACACACTGAAGAGCTAGGAGATTAAGCATGTCCTGTTGTGCTTTTCATCACCCGATTATGATAAACATTTTCATGTACTTTTAGTGAGTGATATCTAGCTATGCAGCTGTATTAATTTTAATTGTGTCAAGAGTCCAGATGCTAATGTCAGTGCCACCACCTCTTTCTGGAAATAGTGTCTACGTTATTAACATATTGTATTGCAGGATATGTTGAACTTTATATTTAATGTGTCAGTGATGTGAGCTCACATTTCTTTTATCTACAATGTGTTGGTGGAAGGTGAAATGGTCACAGCAACAATATCTCAAAACCTGGACAAATACAACCCAAACTATCTGCCATCACAGAGAAAATAATCGAGGAGAATGATGTTGTTGTGTTGACTGGTTGTTTTTGTAAATGGTGATGTGTTTGTAGGGTCCCGCTGGTCCTCCTGGTGAAGTTGGCCCTCAAGGGAAAGATGGAGCCAAGGTAAAAATGACAAGACCTCGTTTTTGTTGACTTGACTTCACTTCTTTCTAAGAGAATCAACCATGTAGGCAAAATGAGTTATGGATTTGTTTCCCCATAAAACGGCAGTAATGAGGAGTTTTCAGTAGATTCTGCTGGTTTTACTTTATCAAAGAGGATAGGAAGGCTTAAAAGAAGCTATCCCACTTCTCATGCTGAGTACATGTAGTACACCAATCCACACAACCTCACATTAGATTGAAATGTAATAAAAAGTCAAATAAAGAAAAGTCATACCACTGAAAGCTTTAGTCACAGGTTGCCTGACCTACTGTCCTCTCGCTGTTGGTACAGTGAAACTGATTATATTAGAACTGCACTGTTTCTCACTTTGTTTTCCTGTGTCTGCCTGCTCTTCTTCTATCTCCCAATATTTCAGGGTGAACCTGGTGAACGTGGGCCAATCGGAGAGACAGGGGATAAAGGGATAGATGGAGACCCTGGGCCCCCAGGACCACCTGGAGAACCTGGTAAACAAGGCTTTCGCGTAAGTTTAATATAAATTTTAACCTCTAGACACGGGTAAAAAAACAAAACAAACAACTTTCATGTAAATGAAAGCAATTAACATAATTTGGTATTGATATTCTAACTGGCTCAGAAAAGTCATGCTTGCACATGATTTAAATGAAAAAGGTACAGTAGGTAGATTCAGTTTGTTGTGAATCTGATTCATCTAGTTCATCTACTGTGTTTATTTATGTGAGAGCCAGTGAGTGATTGATGGATTATGACCGTTATTTTTTCTGAGACATAGAAGCGTAACAGTCATACCTTCAGAATTTTAAATACCTGTACCTAGATGATTTTTTTTTTTTTTTTGTCAGATAATACCTTTATATCCCAGCAGGGGTCAGCCTTCTCTTTAACAAAAACATTTTGAAACTGTAGCAGTAAAATTACTATAGTATGTCATAGGCAGTTAATGACAGCTGTCAGTCAAAGTCTCTTTTAAGTGCTTGCTTGGTTTGTGATCCATATTCAGATCTGGTTATGGTGATAAGATGCTGATGATAAAATGCTGTAGTATCGGAATCAGCAAGTTGGTGTGTGTATAAGTCATCAGACAGATGCTAGTGCTGTGAACAGCAGGCCACAAAGTGAGACATGATCCAAAGTATGACACTATCAGAAAGATGTCAGATAGGTGTGACCAAGCTGAATCAACTCAGTGGACGTTTACAGTTGCACTTGTCAGTGCCACTGCATATAAAATTGACTTCTAATGTGTGATAATCATTTAATGAGTCTCCTGTTACAGGGCCCAGAAGGAAAACTGGGACCTCCAGGGAACAGAGGACGACATGGAAAGAAGGTAAGGACCTTGTTCACCGCCACTTTTTTAGTAGAGTATGTTTCCCTGCAATGAAACAGCAGAAAACAGGAGGATGTATCCAAAGCCTTGTGGTCTTCTATTGCTTCCAGAGAACTACAGAGGCATCTACCTTAGGTCAAAGTTGTTTACTCAAGTTCAGAGGAAGAAAACAAGTACAGTAAATGGAATCATTAGCATCAAAGATAACTGACACCAACATTGACATTTTGTAGGGAGAAAGCGGTCCTCCTGGTCTTGCTGGTGAGATCGGCTTACGGGGAGACATGGGCCTGCCAGGCGAACTAGGGCCTAAAGGTGCCAGGGGAACTCGAGGCACACCGGTTGGTTATCATTCCTTTCCTTCCCCTTAGTCCTGTCCCAAAATTAGACTGAAATTTCTATGCAGAGAAATGTGATTTTATGTAGTGTGTTACAAACTAAAGCAGTGCATCATTTTTTGTTATTATGGTTTATGTGTAAAAGCAACTATGTAGTAAATAGTAACTATTAGTTATTTTGCTAATGTACATTCCTTTTGCTTGTGTGTATATTCTTTTTCTTTTCTTGTTCTCTCAGTCTCATCTTGTTTACTTGTTTACTTGTTATGGAAGAGCATTGCACATACACATTGAGAGCTGCTGTACCGGAGTCAAGTTCACACCAGGCCAATAAAGCTGATTCTGATTAAAACTGGAGCAAGTTATACTGATGTAGTGGAGTAAAAAGTGTTTCTCAAAGTTGTGCTTGAGTACTTAAGGAAATATAACTAATGTAATACGCGTAGTATTTCACTTTGTAGGGACAATTCTAGTTGTATACTATAACAAAAAGCTGTATCTGATTTTTCTTGAGTTTTAAAACTTTAAGAGCAAAGTATCAAATGCCCTTCTTCGTTGCAGGCATGAAAAGACAGGAAAAAGCCTAGAGGAAGGCATCCATACTCTCCTTCTTTAAAGAGAAAGCCAGCTCTCCTCTCAGCAGGGCCACTGAGACTGTGTTGTGATAGCTGTGGATTTATATCCCCCTCATAAAGCAACTCTGTTCACAGGATTCAGTGCACGTGTGTCTGTCTGAGGACAAGGTTATATTTAGCTGTAGCAGAGACAAAAAGCAAACAGCATTAGAATCGATTCACAGAATGATTTTGTGTGTATTTTCTGCATTGCTTCTAGGGTCAACCTGGAATCATGGGGATAGAAGGACAACCAGGACTGCCAGGATACACAGTGAGTTTTTCCTACCTGTGGTTTTATGACAACCTATATATACAGTACATACTGTACAAAACCTATGATGTAGATATGTATTTAGGTCAAAAACAATCAAGACCTTGGCCCAAGTACAAAGAACTATTCCTGGTTTATCCACCAAACGTAACCCCACTTCAAGAAACTCCATAAATGCTACAAATAGAGACTTTAATACAAAATACATCTTTTGATACAGTTTCGATCTAGCTAACTCACGTCCTTTGGTAGATCTGTGCTGTAAACCTAGCATGTGCAAGGCACACCCTGAGTGTAAGTCTGGCAGAAGACCTTATAAATAGGTCCTGTCATCACTCTTCACTGTTTTCTGTCCAAAAAAACAAAAACAAAAGTAAAAACCATTCACAAACACTAAACGACTCTCAACGGTAGAACTGAACATGATGAAACCTACAAACACACTTTTTCCAGCAACTCCAAAGCGTGGTCAGTGCCAGCAATACTGGGTTTAGGTTGCGTAATGTGAAGAGGACTCCCCCAGTTTGTTTTGTCCCTTTTTGTAGATGTATTTTGTGTGTAAAGGTTGTTAGACTTCCCCTGCACTTTACTCTGGTTGGTGAGTAAGTTGTGAGTTTGTGCCAAAATCCAAATCCTTTAGTAATGCAATGTTAAGAGCTTTTCTACAGGGAATTGTGTTTATTTTGAGCAGTTCTGATTCATCAGCCATCAGATTGAATCATGTATGGTGATTTCTTAGGCACAATCATTAACTTTCTGTTTATTTTTTAGGGGCATCCTGGGAAGCCTGGGCCCCCTGGACCACCAGGACCTAAAGGCGAAAAAGTAATATGATACCTGAGCTAGTGTTTGAAATTAAATTCTTTCAGTACTTTGATTTATGCACATACTTCTTTGTACTGGCTGTGTCTATGCATGTGTGATTGTTTTTGTTTGCTACATTCCAGGGTTATCCAGGCGAGGACAATAAGACCCCAGGACCGCCAGGGCCCTTAGGTGAACCAGTAGGTCTTGCTTTCCTTTGAAGTCTCCTTTCTGATCCCAAAAACGCTGCACTCTGTTTAGTCTGAGCCATTTTTAAAGACCGGATTGACACTGGAAATGAAAGTTAATTCTGATCAGAAAACTGGTTTTATCACCAAGTACACAAATGTATTTGTATGAAAAGATTGACAACAATGTATCAGTGTTTTAATTTTTAAATCTGTCTTGTGTATGGACCCTGATTATCAACCTGTGTGGCTCAGATCTTTTCTGACTCATTGCAAGCTGAGCATTGAACAGAAAAATGTTTGACAAGGGCTTTTATACTTCAGGGTAAAGCTTAAGCAGACTTGTCAACCTGTATGTGTTTTGTGTAGCAGGCACGCATTTTGCTATTGAGGTACGCTGGTACAATTTGTCACTCTAAAGTAAGTAAAGTAAGTAAGTAAAAGTTGGTCACACCTTGAGACTCTGGCCTACCCCAACAAGCTCTAACCTGTAGACAAAGGTCTTCCTGGCAAAAAGCAAAAGAAGAAGAAGAGTTTGACCATTTGTACTGCCAGATTCAGGTATGGTTGACAAATATGTAGCTTTAATGTCATTTCAGGAGACAGTAGCTAGGATCCATAAATCAAAAGAGGATCAGGAGATATCAGAGAGTCTTAGCAGCTTGGGAAAGCTCACAGTTACAGAGTTCCAAGACTCTTACACATACACTATGAGACACACTTCCCAGCACCGGACGTGGACATGTAGGCAAGCCTACATAACATGAATAATCAGGTTTACTGAACATTTACTCAGGTATAGATAGCAACCTGCCATATGAGAAATATCAAATTATCAAGGTGGCACAGTATTGTAATACTTAGCATGAGCAGCCTCTGTCTTGACGCATGCTCAACCAAAATCCTCTGGAAGTAACACTCAAGGTGAACTTAGACCTTTCATTCGACTCCAGTAAAGATCAAGGCTCACAGGCCATATCAGAATTGGTTTCACATGTATTGTCCTGAGAAGTGATTTTGTCTTTAAGCAGCTGTCCAATTCAATTGAAGCTGGGTATAAGTTAAGGCATGCATATACAATATATGTTCATGTGTGCATTGGTGTCTACACAGGGGCCCCCAGGAGAACGAGGAGAGCGTGGAGACCCTGGGGATGAAGGGTATCAGGTAGACAAAATCACTAATTCAACATTGGACATTTTACACAGTGGTGGTTGTTTACTTCACTGCTGTTCATTGCAGCACTGTTGTGCACTGATACAGGCACATAAGGGCACAGCACACATGTTGGAGAGGATTATTCCCAGGGTTAAGGCTGCAGAAATCTGGCATTTTTGTCACTTTGTGACTCAGAGGCAGAAGGATTCTTTGCACTTCTTTTTGCAGCTCTACAGAGTGCAAAAAAGGCGGTCTGTGTCCACGACTCCTTCTTCAGCCCAACTGACGCTACAATATAAATGACTTTGTGCATAATGAAAGTCACGTTAGTACATGTTAGATCTTGTAGCACTGACAATGGCTGAGAATAAGTGAGAAAAATATAATTTTGTCACAATTTTGTTTCAGGGCCACATTGGTACCACTGGATCTCGTGGGGCTTTCGGACCTCAGGGCCCACCAGTAAGTCAGTAAATGTCTGTAGTACGGTGGCTGCTTTTAGAGTTTGTCATCTCAAAAAATGTCTTCCTAAAAGAACATAATTTCCACAGTTTATCCTGTAAACATAATATGAATTTATATGACCTTTTACCATTTTCATTTGTGTTTCTGTGTTTTTGTCTTTTTTGTGCTTTATTCAGGGATCACCAGGCCTCCCTGGAGAACCAGGCCTGAAAGGAGAGATAGGAGCTCCGGTGAGTCCATGTTAATCTCCCTAGTCAAATCACACTGTATGTGTTTCACTGACGGTAAAGAGTGTGTAAACTTAGTCTTTTTCCTGCAAAGAAGATGGACAATCTCTGCATCAGGATATTTTTGCTACCAGGCTGCTCTTTTTGTGCTGAGTAACAAAACCACTAAAGCTATTAACACTGCTTCATTCAGCCACTACCAGCAGGGTCGGCTTTGGTTGGACTGGGTTCATACTGTACAGTATGTGACGCTGAGGATGAAGAAAAATCCTTGTGTTTCCTGTCAGAATGACGCAACAGACATTTGGTCACAGCAGAGCACTTCTATTTTCTCCCTGTTACCTGATGAACACGCTAACACAAAGATTTGAAGCTTTTCGTGTTTTGAACCTGTCCTCTGTGCCTCATGATTTCAGCTCAGCTAAGGTGGAATTTCATTAAAGGAGAAATGGTTTTTTTTTTTTTTTGATTGTTAAATTACTTTAGAAATGCTTCATATAATTTGGGAAGTTGGCATTAAAGCAGAAATGTTTTGATAAATCAAGCTTACCTCGCAGCTTGTGCTTTTCTTTGCCGTCAGTTTCTTTTGAGTCCTCAGGCCTGTCACAGGCTTTTTGATTACATGCTCTAATTTCCCATGTGAAACAACTTTGAGCCTCTTGATCAAGTTCCACATAACTGATTTAATGGTCCAGATGTCACTGATGTTTCTTCCACATGTCAAACAGCCTGTATGCAAGAGTGTTTATGTAATGAGTTCAGTGCTATGGGAATATTCCTGTTAATTTAGCTCAGCTTGGCTTGACTTTAATCAGAATTTGAGCAGTGCCTTCGTGTGTAATGTATAGATCTGTTAAGAAACAGTGACAACTTAACAATCTGTCAGAAAACACTGGAAACTGTAAGGCTCTCCTGTGTTCCTGCTTTGGTAAAGCATTCCTAACTTACTGTATCAGGCCCATAGAGAACACAGTGGATTATGTGAAAATATTTTTCTCACTGTGAAAATAAAGTTTTTCAACCTTATATTTTATATACACATACTGTAATTAAAAACATAATGCAGTGGAAGTTCCATGTGTTATTGTTGTCCCTCCAAACACTTCAGTGTGATTTAACCCATTGCCATCTGAGGTGTTAAATATACAGTTAACATATTTTACTGTCTGGATTGAGTAAAGTAGGAAAATAGTCTTAAACTCATTCATCTTTTTTGCTCCTTAATGAGAGATGAGTGAGAAGTCCACCCTTGTGTGTTTTTGAAGATTCCCGTGTATGTTTTATTATTTGTGTATGTGTGCATTTC